AATTAGTATTTCCAGCTAGTGGGTCTCTCAATATACACATGCACCTTTTGGCATTTCTATGGTTCTACTCAAAAACTACCAAATCTCTTTTCCTTCATTTCTAGAGACTTAAGCGCTTTCGGAGGTAAAGGTTCAACAATATTTAATTAAGAACAAATGCGATCCGTCTTGAAATGTGGGTACCAAAGAAAAGATTTACAAGCTCAAATGGGCTAACAAAGGATAATATTTTATCACTGTTAGGCAAATATATTGAAGGATAAATCAAAGAAACGTTTATATCATTTCCTAAGATCACAAGACTTTATTTCGCTTCGACTCAACACGGGGAGAGTTCTAGACTAACAAGGGATAGCACAGAGTACAATCAAAATCTCACCTCACACAATGCACATGACTTACTCAGGACGGCTTGGACCCCACTCTCAAGTTAAAGCTACTAGCACAGTCATAAAATAATCCAAACAATAGGAAGTGGCAACTGGAGTCAATAGACGAGCCCAAGCGTCAAAAGAAACACATATATTCTCAAGGCATATAGTCACAAGAATAAAGAAGAAAGTACTCAGTGCAAATGCTCCAGATCTAAGCCCCAACATAAAAATGTCAAAAAACATAGATACTTAAGTTCTTCCCATTCCATTATCAGTTGAGAAAAAAAATCTTTTTGTATTTTTCTTTAGACTTTAAACCCTCAAGAAATTTGTCTAGGAAGTCCATCGTTGGGAAAAGTCCAAAACCTTTTGAAAATTCTACTTGAAAAAAAAAACTACTATCCTGTTCAAATGTCATCCCTTGAAAAAGAACCGTGGCCATAAGAAAAACTAAGAGGGATTATTTCTACCTAATGTTTTCCCTTTTTTTAACGCGCATAAAATAATACAACTAACATAGAAAACTACCCAAACAGTCTCTTTACCCCCACACTTAAAATTGTGCATTGTCCCCAATGCACACCATAAATAACAAGAGTGTGACAAAAACTCCCTGGTAGGCCAAAGACCGAAGCATCAGTAACTCATGGGATACTCAGACTTCTCCCAGGCTTGGTCCTTTTTGCGGGTACCTCACACTTAGTTTCAACCATCTGGTTTGCTGTTGCATCTTTCAATAGCTTTGCTTTCCATGCTCCTAGAAAATAAAAAATTAATGTTCTGTCACGACGTGAATCACTTTGTGCCTCCACCTTGAGCTTATGCATTAAACCCAAAGTTTTGCTTCAAGCTTATGATTATGCTCTTGGGGTGGTACAAATTCTTGCGAGCCAAAAATTAGATAAAGTCTTATGCACTTTTTGGCTCTCGATCGAGGAGTGTTACCTTGCCTAGACGGCCTTGAGAATTTCAAAATATAAGGCTCATCTACCTCTTCCTTGGACACCTTTTTATACTCGTAAGTATCCATTCGCTTTTCACCATCCGAACATAATGTAGAGAAGTGTTTGGAATGAGATCCAACATGCTCAAATACATGAACTTCATGATTTTTGACCTCCTCAACATCAAGCATACTAGAGTCAATTAAATTTGTATCTTTAATGTCGTTGGCTGACTATAATGTTACTTCTTGAACATCGGCTTCCTCAAATTCTAGTTGGATAGATTGTTGGTGTTCTACTCTAACCTCCTCCATTAGCGCCTCAATTTCAGTGTCTAATTCATGTTCTTCTTGACTAATATCCCCAATATTGGCTTGTTGAGCATTAAATGCTTCCACTAGTTGACTCATTTGTGCCTCTAGGTTACGAATAGTAGCATCTTGCCTTTCTATCTGCATCTGTCTTTCATCATTCTGTTCCTCAAAGTACTTTAGCATATCCTTGATCTCTTTCAGGTTAGCATCCCCGGGTTCTTTGTTCCAATTAACTTCACAAGAAAACGTAGAACCATCAAAGTAAGGGGTGGGGGAAAGATAAGATATATAAGTACAACTATGAAAGTGACCATCTCGACCACCACACATATCACATACATTCCACACATAAGATTAAGTTGGTGCACATAAATTGCTTGGGGAATATTTAGACTATTTTGACCAAGGTGGTTTCCGTGACGATTCACACAATGAAGATCAACAGTAGAATTACCAACATCAAAATTCTCATAATTTTAGGATACCATGTTTCTCAAATTAACAAGTAAAACAAAAATAAAAAATGAAATATAAAAAATAAAAATAAAAGTTTAAACTTGAAACCTAGCAATATGTACACCTTCTACACCATTAGTTCTCCTGCGACGGCGTCAAAATTTGATCATGCCCAACTCTAGTCCTAAAAAGGATAAGCGGTCGCTGCAAATATAATCCGTTCTAAAAGTCCGGAGTCGAATCCCACAGAGAACTAAGGCTTAGCTACAACTGTTCAATATCCCTAAGAAATACAAGTCCAAACAATTTCCTAATTACAAAAGATTATAATGTTTATTTTTATCTAATTAACTAACAAATACTAGAAAGTAGTAAAACTATCAATTAACAAGGATAAGAATTGGAGATAAGATTAAGGAGGCCTAGAATTATAATTTCCCCAATTGTCGGAATCCTTCCCGCTTGTCTTCTATACTTTCACCTAAGTATTTTCTATCGATTGTGAGTACTTTGGTTGTCATAATTCTCTCTTGATCAACTACCACAATTTACTAGATGTATTCTCTCGAACTACACTAGCTGACACTAATTCACCGCTCACTACGATCGCACCAAGATTTCGTTATCTCTAGTTCCGCTTTTAATCCCTCCGTATTGATCTCTCATATATGTTAGGAGTGATGTTGTTCAAATACTACCTAAATATGTACTATCTCTTGAGCAATACACGTTAAATAGGCATAGTCAATTGATAGTCATTCAATCAACAACAACAAACACGTAGTTGAACAAGTAGATAAATTCAAAGGCTAAATTATATTAAAACATAATAAGAATTCATCCTACAAAAGGTTATATCAAAACTCTAGAAAACAAATTATATATTCATAAAAGTATATGAAAACACAATACTCAAATTCATAACCAACAAAGAAAATAGGAAGAAGAAGGGGAAAAACTCGTAGTTGAATCTTTCTCCTTGCTCCTAGCGTGCTCTTGCCTCCAAGGGTGTTGTTTAACCCTAAAGTAGTGTCTCCTCCCCTAAAAGTTGTGTTTTAAGATGTATTTATATCACTTAGGGTTGATGAGGGGCGAAATTTTTCAATCCAACTTCGGATGGGAGAAGCTGGAATCTGTATTTACCTTCGCATTAGACGTGGACTTTGATGCAGATTCGTGTCTACCTTAATGTCTAGACGTGGACTTTGACGTGGATCTAGCTTTTGAAATTCTTCCATTTCGCTAATCTCTCCATGACTTTGCTTTGCTTCGCTGTTTTGTGCCTTAACTTTTCTCTGTTTTCGCTTCCGACTTTGTGCCACGCATGAGAATAGACGAGCTCCCACTACTTTAATATCTTCTTTTTGTGTCGAATTGTCATATTTTGATCATTTATCATCCAAACTCGTTCCTACACATAAGAAACACATAATGAGTATATTTCACTTCAAAAATCATGTAATCTCCCGCGACACACACCAGAATTAATATGCAAATATACTAAAAATTATGTACTTTTCACCATTTATTACCATCCCACAATTAAACTCTTGATTGTCTTCAAGCAACTTAAAATTAAGCGCATAGGCAAGAAATACCTTTCAAAATATACTCAAGCATCGCAACAATAACAACGATTTATATCAATGCTTAGACCCCATCATATACACTCTTCTTACATTTCTCAAGTTCTAAACTCATGCCAAGAGTATTTAAAATATTTGTTTGACTCTTCTAATTACCTAGCCTCAAAAACTGACTCCACTACATTCCTATTTGTGATTCGCTTCTTGTGCAAACTAAAGATACGAGTTTCTTACCAATCTGCTGTAAAGCATGTGCCCTCACCATCAAAACATGGATAGTAATCAGTCTGCACACTCAAATATGAGTTCAAGTATAATTTAAGGACTCATAGAATGAAAGAATTTACTCACTCTTGCAAAGAAACTCATGTGCCCCCAAAGCTCGTACCATAGGCTTGTCCGTAATGTAAATCTCTACTAATTTAATCTCGCAAAGTCTAGGATCAATTAGGTCTTCATGGATTGTAATGTAGGATATGAGATGGGTAGGATAGATATGGATAGTAGTGACTAAACCTCCTAAGCACGTTTAATACAATACACATTAACCTTTAAGCACATACTCTTCATGATCACTCAACATATTGCTACAAAACCATAAATAACGTAGCCCATTGACTTGAAGCATCTACATAAGCAATAACACATATCAAAGTGAATTGTAGGGATTTTTTTTTTCTTTTTTTAAATCTTTTCAACACCCTCCATAAATTAGTGTTTCTAGCTAGTGGCTCTCTCAATATACACATGCACCTTTTGACATTTCTATGGTTCCACTCAAAAACTATCAAATCTCTTTTCCTTCACTTCTAGAGACTTAAGTGCTTTCATAGGTAAATGTTCAACAAGATTTCATTACGAACAAAAAGGATTCATCTTGTAATGTGGGTACCAAAGAAAAGGTTTACATGATCAAATGGGCTAACAAAGGATAATATTTTATCACTGTTAGGAAAATAGATTGAATTATCAATCAAAGAAATGCCTATATCATTTCCTAAACTCACAAGACTTTATTTCTCTTCGATTCAGACATGGGGAAAGTTCTAGACTAACAAGGGATGACACAGAGTACAATCAAAATCTCACCTCACACAATGTACATGACTTACTCAGGACGGCTTAAACCTCACTCTCAAGTTAAAGCAACTAGCACAGTCATAAAATAATCCAAACACTAGGAAGTAGCAACAGGAGTCGATAGACGAGCCCAAGCGTCAAAAGAAACACATATATTCTCAAGGCATATAGTCACAAGAATAAAGAAGAAAGTACTCAGCGCAAATGCTCCAACTCTAAGCCCCAACATAAAAATGTCAAAAAGCATATATACTCATTCCATTATCGGTATAAGGGCTTTTATGGTGACTTTAAGTGTGCCGCTAAACCTATCACTCCTAATTGTCCTATTTTGTACAAAAACGAAGTGAACGAAAATAAACCCTAAAGTAACAAATCTCCTCCTCGTAAAATCTCTAATTTGCTCCATCTTCTCAACCCCAAATCAGTCTAAACTTGCTCCTAACTGAAGAGGGTCACACACTATCGATGGTGATCACGCTCTTTTTGGTCTCATTATTCGTCAAATGGAGCGCTAACTTCCTTCATCGTTTCTTCCTCTCTAGATTTTGTGCTCTCTGCTCTGTTGAGGTGAAAAATCTAATCCTATTTTTGTATTGTGATGCTTTACAGACTATGCTCATATTCAGGAGAAAAGATTACATCTAATGAGGATTAGTGCATTTTTGCGGCATGAGATTTAGGGTAAGCACGATTTTTACCGATTTTTGGTTATTTATTGTTGCAAAAGTGTAAAATTAAGGTTTCGTCATGATATGGGATCTTCTTTTTAATACAATATTTGCGCTCCCAAGCTTTAAAATTAGTGGGTTTGATAATATTTTGGAAATTTTAGGGCTTTTGTACTTGAATAACTCGGTACTCTGAAGCGTTAAATTTTAGGTAATTTTTGAAGCTTTTGGAATGATTCAATGCTCATTTCTCTTAGTTATTGGTTGCTAATAGCATATATTTTAGGTCTCTGAGTGAGAACTTGCGTTAAGTTGCTTCGTTACTTTTTCGACAAATGTTTTAAGATAGAAAAGCAAAATAGACTTAGAGGTTGGTCCACCTTGTAATTGTGTAAATGAAAAGAGAATCTGGGATATTACATGTATTTGGTTAGTTGGTTTTCTAAGTATTTTAGATGTGCATCTCATCAGATTGGTTGCTAAGTAATTAATTGGCCAAATTGGAACCAACTGCTCTTTGTCATCACCAATTTCTGTTTATTTGTTTATTAAATGGATGCCACAAAAAGGTTATTCTTACAATCCTAATGTTGCAAACAGGTTATTCTTGGAGACATTTTTACTTATTGGTGAACTGCATCAAAAAATCTGATAGAATATTCTTCTCATGTTTAATATTACAATAGCCTCCTCTTAAAAACCACCTCATAAACTTTATTCAAGTTTTTATTCTTTTTAATCACCTTGTATTAGGTTTTATCATCGAAGTGTTGTTCTTTAAGGGTGTAGAAGTTGAAAAACTAGTTATTGAAAGTTGTATTGGTATGTGATTAAGTCGAAAGTATTTTATACTTGGCAAAGTAAATCATTTTTTGCTATCTTTAAACCACATTTCTTTCCTCGTAATTTGTTTATTTTTTTCCACGGAAATTATTTATCTTAAGTTAGTGAGCAAATATTTCCAAAAGAGATTGATATTTCATCTTATTAGAAACTAATTAAGGTACAATAACTTTGGTAGGATGCATTGTGGTTAATGAGTTATGATATTGAGAGCTAAGTGTCTATTGTCTAGTTTGTTCTTAAATATTAGTCTTAAGCTCGTATTAGAATAGTGGTAGTGTGTTCTAGTTTTGTGATAGAGATATTAACTAAGGAAAAGTAAGTTCTGTTTGACTTTATCCATTTGGTGTGGGTAATTTGTGATTTGATTTGATGATTTTGTAGCTGCATTTCCTCTGTTATGGTAGAGAACCAGCTCTTTTGGTCTTACTTGTTTGTTTAGTAATTCCATTGTGTCATCCGATGATGGAAATTAAAATTTAAAGAATGGTTCAAGTTGTAAACAAATGTTGAAGGCTACTGGAAACTAGTGAATTGACCTATATATGTTGGTCGGTTAATATATAGAATGATCTATAAAAGCTTTCTTGGAGAAAAAAGAAGAAATAAGAACATACCTGAAAAGAAAGAAAGGAAAAACTTTTTGGTAATACACTTGGTAACTCTTGGCATTAGTAGTGGTTGCTTGAAATATCTAGAATTTATAACAAGTGTTCAAATAAAAAGTACTCTAATTGAAACCACTTCACAGAACCTGCATTTTATTCCGTGCTATTGGATAATCTATAAGACTTTATCTTTTGTTGTTATTTTAGTTCAGTTATTTATATTACAAATAGTGGACAACTGTAGAGTATATTAAATTATCACACTATTTGTTATTGTTGTCATATATCTGTAATGAGTAAGTAGTTTGTTCAGCTAAATCTTGCTTCTGCAATTTATATTTTTTTCCCACCATTCAGTGATATTCAATAGACTTAAAGATGTTTAAGTCGCATGAGGTTGACATTATTGTGCACAGAAAAAGTGATAGAATTGATATTGCACTATGAACACTTCATCTCATAGGACATAATTTTTCCTTATAGGTCTTCTCTACATACTTTATCTCTGGAATTTAGTTTATGAGTTTCTTAAAGTGCACATCTTATTACAACCAAAGTAATATCAGATTAAAGCATGAATGCAGTGAAAGGGAGTAACTTTAGTCTTCATTTTGATCGTGACTTTTAAAAAATATATTAATAGGATTACATAATTCCATTTTTATGGTATCAAAATGTGTTGTCTAACAAATCTTCCGAAATTTCTTTTATAAGTGGTAACAGAACTGTCCAAAGTGTGCACAAACGATAATGCCATGCCATCTTATTGAACATCAAAAAGGAGTTGCACGTGCGGATACGCTAATATTATTTCCTAGAGGTTTTGTTCAGGATTTTTCTCGCACCTTTGACTGTATTCCAGAATACGAGAGAAAGTCATGGTCTTCAAGAGGAAATGATTCTAGCCAAGGAGGAGCTCCAAGATAGTTTATTTTTATATTGTAACTTTTTTTGTGTTTCATGTGTATACACAATTACTATACATTATGATTTTTGGTTAATAGAAGTTCATGTATCATTTTGTTTGAAAATTATCTTCAATGGTGTCTCTTATAATGTTAATGATTTGTTCTAATATACAATTGTGCAATATTAGAATGAATTTGAAGCTGCATGTTTTTTTAAAAAAAAATAAAAAACTATTTATGGCGATCAAAGTTGTCACTAATACATAGTTATTGTGGCAATAAAGATTGCCACAGAAGGCACAACATTTTTGTGACGACTATAGTCACCACAAAAGGTTGTTTTTAGTGGGTATTTGTCAATTTTTGTGGCAAGTATAGTCGCCACTATTGAGGCTTATTAATGGCGACTGGGCCACAAAAGGTTATTTTCAGTGGGTATTTGTCAATTTTTTTGGCAAGTATAGTCACCACTATTTTTCATGACCCGGATTTCCCACCCTCGGGAGTCGTGATGATGCCTACTCATGAAAGCTAGGCAAGCCACGTAATATAGAATCCCTAAGTCTTTTATTTAGCCTTTTTAACAATTTAAACTAACATGTAATTAATAATGAAATACTAACAATAAATAGATACAAGCGGAAGACTTAATCTGGTAAATTAACCATAAACAGTACAACAATGCCAACATACATCTCTACCCAAAATCAGTGTCACAATATCACAGACTGTCTGTGAATACTACATACAAATGTCTGAAAAGAAAGTAAAATCTGTCTCGGAAGCAAATGAAAACAGAATACACATAAGGATAGAAGAGAATGTCGGGCCTACGGACGCCTGCAAGACTGCCTCGGGATCTCTAACTGGACCGAAGGAAGCCATCCAATGCTACGGTCCAAAAGCTGCCGCTCCAGGATCTGCACATAGTGCAGAGTGTAGTATTAGCATAACCGATCCCATGTGCTGGTAAGTGCGTGACCTAACCCCAGCGAAGTAGTGACGAGGCTAGGACCAGTTATATAATATGCAACGAAAAATAAAACAGGAATAAACAAGTGAAGATGGGAGGGGGTACATGTTGTGGGGAAACATCAGTACCAACAGTAAATTAAGAGGAAAGCATAAGAACAATTTAGAATTTACAGCAAACCAATAAGGACTCGTATCCAATCTATAAGCACTTCGTATTATCAATTGTTGTGGCGCGCAACCCGATCCCAAAACATACTAACTCTGTTGCAGCGTGCAACCCGATCCATATCATTTATCAATGTTGCGGCGTGCAAGCTGATCCAATTATATTATTGTTGCGGCGTGCAACCCGATCCAAATATAATATTGTTGTGGCGTGCAACCCGATCCAAATATAATATTGTTGCGGCGCGCAACCCGATCCCATTATACAGTTCAACACCAATCACAACAAGAGTCCCGACAAGGGATCAATAAAGAAATAATACTATCCTAGCAAGGGAATAGACAGTATAAGTAAATACGTCCCGGCAAAGGAAAATCAGCTATAACCAAATTTGTTCCAACATCTAACTACATCAACTAGCACCAATACTCAATCATAAGTAATTTCCACGAGGATAATCATAATCCTTGTCCAACTCAGAGAATCAACAACTTAGGCATTCGTAGTATTTATTTAGAACACAACAATATCAATTTAAGACTTACGGTCATGCTTGACACCAACGTATAGATACTCGTCACCATGCCTATACATCGTACTCAACAAGTAACATGTAGCAAATAGGACTCAACTCCTAATCCCTCAAGCTAAGGTTAGACCAAACACTTACCTCGATGCCACGAACACAATTCAAGCCTCTACTACCGCTTTACCTCTTGATTCTACCACCAATTCACTCGTAACTAGCCACAAGTTACTTAATTACATCAATAAATGCTTAATGGGTCAATTCTAATATATGAAAATGAGTTTTCTAAAGTTTTACCTAAAAAGTCAAAAATAGCCCCCGGGCCTATATGGTCAAAATTCAATGTTCTAACCAAAACCCGATTACCCATTCCCCCACGAACCGATATATATATTTGTTTTGAAATCGGACCTCATATCGAGGTCCAAATCCCCAATTTTTTAAAAATCTAGGTTCTACCCAAAACATCCAATTTCCCCCATGAAAATCATTGATTTTGAGTTGAAATCATGTGAAAAAATGTTAATGATTGAAGAAAACGAGTTAAAATTGACTTACAATCGATTTGGAAGAAGAGTTGTCTTTGAAAAATCACCCAAGAGTGTTTTGATTTTGAAAAAGTGTGAAAAATGAGAGATTTTCGGCTAAGTTATAAAATTGCAGGTTATAGATGTCGCAATTGCGAACCTAAACTTCTACTAAGTTCGCATTTGCGAAAATGGGCTCGCATTTGCGAGCTGGGAAATGCGACAAACATGTCGCATTTGCGACGACTGGCCACAAGCTGGGGGATCGCATTTGCGATTAAAACCCTTGCAATTGCGAGATAGGCTGGATTGTGCTACTTTCGCAATTGCAACATAGTCCTCGCATTTTAGATATCACATATGCGAGCCAGGTTTCGCAAATGCGAAACCTGCAGGCTTGCACAGTAACAGCTGAAGCCTGCAATTCGTTAAGTCCAAAATTTTACCCCGTGGCCTATCCAAAACTGACCCGAGCCCTCGGGACTCTAAATCAAACATGCACACCAATTTAAAAATATCATACAGACTCGCTCGTGCATTCAAATCTCTAAAATAACATCAACAACTATGAATTTAACATCAAAATCAAGAAATATCTCCAGAACTTTCAAATTTTCCATTTTTCTCAAATATGATCCGATTCACGTCGTTTCAAGTCCGTTTCTTACCAAATTTCACAGACTTATCTTAAATCACATATAAGACCTGCACCGGGCGCCGAAACCAAAATACGGGCCCGATACCATCGAGTTTTAAACTCATTTCATTTCCAAAACTCAAAAATAATTTCAGAAAATAATTTTCTTTAAAAATTCATTTCTCGGGCTTGGGACCTCGGAATTCGATTCCGGACATACACCCAAGTCCCATATTTTTCTACGGACCCTCCCGGACCATTAAATTACGTGTCCGGGTCCGTTTATCCAAAATATTGACCGAAGTCAACTTAAATCCATTTTAAAGGCAAAATTTATCTTTTTTCATAGATTTTTACATAATAGCTTTTCGACTATGTGCCCGGATTACGCACGCAAATCTAGGTGATGCTGAAAGATATTTTAAGGCCTCGGAACGTAGAATTTAATTTTAACACAAGTGATGACCTTTTGGGTCATCACATCCTCTACCTCTAAAACAACTGTTCGTCCTCGAACGGACAAAAGAAGGAAGTCCCTGAATCGGGGAAAATATGGGGATAACATATCTGCATATCAGACTCAGACTCCCAGGTCGATGCCTTAGCGGGCTGACCTCTCCACTGAACACGACCAGAAGGAAAACTCTTCGATCACAACTAACGAACATGCCAGTCTAGAATAGCTACCGGCTCCTCCTCATAAGACAAGTCCTTGTCCAACTGGACAGTGCTGAAATCTAACACGTGGGATGGATCGTCGTGATATTTCTGAAGCATGGACAGATGAAACACTAGATGCACGGCTGATAAGCTCGGAGGCAACGCAAGTCTGTAAGCCACCTCTCTCACTCGATCAAGAATCTCAAACGGGCCAATGAATCTAGGGCTAAGCTTGCCCTTCTTCCCAAATCTAGTCACGCCCTTCATAGGCGACACTCGAAGCAATACTCGCTCACCGACCATGAATGCCGAACCACGAAACTTGCAGTCGGTATAACTCTTTTGCTTGGACTGAGATGTACGAAGCCTATCTTACATAATCCTAACCTTGTCCAAGGAATCCTGAACCAGATCCGTACCCAACAACCGAGCCTCCCCCGGCTCAAAGCGACCAACACCGCCTACCATACAAAACCTCATAAGGAGCCATCTGGACACTCGACTAGTAGTTGTTATTATAGGCAAACTCTGCTAAAGGCAAAAACTGATCCCACGAGCCTCCAAAGTCAATGACACAAGCTCGGAGCATATCCTCCAAAATTTTAATGGTCCGCTCGGATTGCCCGTCCGTCTAAGGATGAAATGCTATGCTCAACTCAACCCGTGTGCCCAACTCTCACTAAACTACTCTCCATAAATATGAGGTAAACTGCGTACCTCGATCCGAAATGATAGACTCGGGCACACCATGAAGACAAATAATCTCCCAGATATAGATCTCAGCTAACCTCTCGGAAGAATAGGAGACTGCCACAGGAATGAAATGTGGTGACTTGGTCAGCCTATCAATAATAACCCACACTGCATCGAACTTCCTCTGAGTACGTGGGAGTCCAACAACGAAATCCATAATGATGTGCTCCCACTTCCACTCGGGAATCTCAATCTTTTGAAAAAAAACCATCAGGTCTCTGATGCTCGTACTTAACCTGCGGACAATTCAAACACCGAGCCACATATGCAATGATGTCCTTCTTCATTCTTCTCCACCAATAATGTTGCCGCAAATCCTAATACATCTTTGCGGTGCACGGATGAATAGAGTATCGGGAGCTATGGGCCTCCTCTAAAATCAACTCTCGAAGCCCGTTCACATTAGGCACACAAACTTGACCCTGTAATCTCAAAACTCCATTGCCTCCTAAGGTAACCTGCTTGGCACCTCTGTGTTGCACCGTTTCTCTAAGGACACACAAATGGGGATCATCATACTACCGATCACGGATACGCTCCAATAAAGAGGGACGAGCGACCGTGTAAGCTAACATACGACTGGGCTCAGAAACATCCAACCTCAAGAACTGATTGGCCAAAGCCTGAACATCCAAAGCAGGCGGTCTCTCATCGACCGGAATATAAGCAAGACTGCCCATACTGGCTGACTTCTTACTCAAAGCATCGGCCACCACATTGGCCTTTCCCGGATGATATAAGATGATGATATCATAGTCCTTTAACAGCTCCAACCACCTTCTCTGCCTCAAATTCAACTCCTTCTACTTAAACATGTACTGCAGACTCTTGTGATCCGTGAACACCTCGCATGCCACGCGATACAAATAATGCCTCCAAATCTTCAACGCG